AATGAACGACCTCATTGATGCATGTGAACAAATAGGTAATGCGAAAAATTTGATTGTGAGAGAATTTGAATGAAGGATGTATCTATTCAACGAAATTCCGAAATTATCTCGGCTATCTTGCAGCACGATGTAATGTATGTATATGCATGTGTCAAGGAGTTTACAAAAATGTAATTTGATGCCAATCCCCATAGACACATTAATTTCGCAATCGGATAACTAATCACATATTAGTTTGCTTAGCATGCATTCGGAATCTTGACGCGTTGTCAAAAATCTTGGGCCCTGAAATCGAGCAGACACAAGTTGCACGCGCGACGTGAAACACATTCATAGCAAACGTGTAAATCATGATACTTGTGAAAGAATACGAAAAAATTTTCAAAGTACAAAAATCAATGCGAAAGATGAAATTCATTTATTCTGCACTTTTGAGAACACCTCGTCTCCTCGCAAAAATTATTAACCTTCAGTGTATACAAACAAGCTTACGCGATAACGCATCATCACGCGTCTCCATAATTCGTTCGTAAAAAAATAAATAATGAGAAGCATCATTTTTTCTCTCTCACTGTAAAAAAAAAATGCCTTTGGAAAAAAAATGCGCGCTCCTTCTTTTAACAAATAAAGATAGAAATTTTATCAATGTAAGAAACACCGTAACAAGTCGTGATTCGAAAAGGAGGCAAAATATTAGGTGAGATAACATGTAAATAAACAACTAGATGTATATATAAATATATAATGTGTATGGATAAATATAATATAATATGATAATATATAAATAATATAAATGCATATAGAATATGTGCAATAGGTTAGAAAGAAAAGAAAAATTAAATAATATAATGTTAATTACAGAAAAGAAGAAAAAAACGAATAATAATAATAATAATGATAATAATTTTTAACTTTAAAAAACTTTTCTAAAGAGAAGGAAATATATATATATATTCTATACATGTAAGCCTATTTCGGTACTTTTTTTGAAATTATGAGGATTATGTGTGCGTGTTAAGCGAAAGAAATAATGATCAAATGATCTGACCTCGATGATTTAAGAAAGATCTTAGTTTAGTGCTTGGATATTTGTTCTTATGCTTAGATTTTTTTTTGTTTTGTTTTTTTCTTTGATAAAATAATTTCCTCGTCCACTTGACCTCTCCAAGTTATCGCCATCGGATCCCGTTATTATTATTATTTTTTTTTTTAAAAAAAAAGCACCATTTTCAAATCCCGTCACGTTTTTTGTCCTAGTTTTTTCCTCCGCACCCGAAAACTCGACCTTTTGTTGTTGCCGAAACACACGCCGGGATAAAATAATTTACGAGGCTTTCTATTTATGAATAAATATCATCAGTTTTTTTTTTTTTATAAACTACTTAAAATTGAAAGCGCTCCAAAAGTGTATGTGTATGTGTATGTTATATATATGTAGATAGATGTGTTGGATGAATGTTTATGTATGTATATCACTTAATCCAGAAACCCATGTGTCTCCTTCCTCATTATACCTTGAGTCCACCAATTTTTTTTTTCCCTCCAAAAAGATAAAAAAGAAGTGTAAAATGTAGAACGCATTCACAGCCCATTAAGATAAGCACGAATCTCAGAGAGAATGCAAAGATCACCGTTAATCGTTAAAGAGGTGACCGAGCGTTTTATTTTTGCTGATGGAATTGCGCCATGATTCCGTTTTCTGCATCCTGGATCTTAGCATAGCAATGAAGTTACGCTCATCCTCTTGGTGGATTCAGAATCGGATACGTTGAGGTTTTCCCCACGAGAACCAGGCTCCCTCGGTATCATGATACTTTCATCGCGTCCATCTGCCAAATTCGGTATTTCATCATGATGACGTTGTTGATGAACGTGATGAGGATGACTCACCGGGCGATCGTAGTGAACATACGAGGCATTCATGTTTGGCTTGGAGTCTTCGAATTCTTGTTTATAAGCGGAAGGAGTGGAGATGGGCGATATAATGCTACTGGGCGGTGATCGCGTGGGATTAAAGGCGGAAGATCGGCCTTCGATCAACAATGAGAGCGACGTCTCTGAGCGGCGCGAAGGTGGACCGGGATTAACCAACGGCTCGGGTCGATGTACGCTTGGAACTATCGGACTTGGACGAGGGATGATTGGTGAGTAATGGTTGGTGGCATTGCTACGGTGCTTCTGATAATTATCCGATAAATGATAGTGTGATTGATTAAAATGATCATTTGGATTGTGGGGGTTCGATGGTGGATGAGGAGGCGCCTCGACGTACAATGACGTGAGAGGTGTAATGTCTGAAAAATTACTCTGCCGCGGGGATAAGAGTGGGCTCAGGAGACCAGATCGTCCTACACCCATGTTCATCGCATGTGACGCGGGATCCGCGCTGAGTGATCGCACATACGGGCTGCAGTCGCCCGATTGGATGTAGGTGTCACTCTTGATCTTGGTGAAGAGCGCGACAACGTGCGTTTCCCTCCGCGCAAAATCAAAACCGGAACCTCGTTCAAGGTACATTCGAACATTATACAGATCATATTGACCAATTCTCTGCCTTAAGTTGATCATCCCCTCGATGCCATCAGAGGGTAGCGGTTGATACGAGTGCTGATTCGATGGGTTATTATGTCGGTGCATACTTTCTAACAGCGAATTGAAAAACTTTTGAAACTTTGCCACATCACCGGCCAGTATATAGTCGTAGATAGATTTGTTCACAAGCTCTAACGGATAGTATCCCATACTTCCCAGGCACTCTTTTGATACGGACGCGCATGTGGCTCCATCGATGGTCAAGTACATGGTGATGGTGGACGGCTGACTCTCCGGTAGCGATGACACCGACGGTGACCTCATTAGCTGTTTGGAAGGTTTTTCTAGAAACTGGGAAGGACGATGAAACGTCGGTCGATTACTTACGGGCGGCGAATGAAGATGAGGCGGTGATGGTATGAAGGACGAGAATGAAAGTTGTTGATTTTGCGGAGGCGGCGGTTGATCAACATGATGGCGACTACTTGACTGCTGGTCCGGATCGGCGGTGGTGGGTGGTAAAAATTGTGGATTGGTTCCCCATGTTTTAGCATCAGCAGTTGCATGTGTATCATACGGATACTGCTTCTTATCCTTCAACTTTGGGCGGCCGCGCTTCTTGTGTTTGATGTCAACGCAAGTTTCAACTTTTCCAAGTGCGACGCATCGTTTGCAGGGTCTTGAGACTACATGGATAGTAAGAGAGAACGAAAAAAATCGATGTCGTTAGCAACACTTTCAATACACCGAGGAAAGTGACTATTCGAAGATTAGGTTCATCCATGTGAAGTTAACCATGCCAACAGTGATCGGCAAATCGTACTTCTCGTTGACATCGAATGATGCGTGCTCACTATATTTGTCCCTCCTATCCATTCGCTAAAGAATCCAGTGGCACAACCCGCTTTTAAAAAAAAAACGTGTTGGTGTCACGTGCTCAAACAAAGCTTGAATATTGTGCAACATGAAATTTAACTAAGCCAAATCGCGTAGATAAATAAATAGGAAAAATGATGGGAAAATACATGCAAAAGAAAATTGTACTGGAATCTATCTATCTATCTATCTATCTATTTACTTTTTATTTTTTTCAGATTGCAACACGCGAGCGCGGGTGGATGAAAGTCAAATTCGAGAATGGTCCGCTTACCATCGCAGGCGAGGTGAGCCTTCTTGCAGTTAACGCAGGCGCTTGGGACATGAGTCTTATTCGTTCTTTTGATGACGCCGCTTCCATTATCTTCTCCGCTCAGATTGGTATTAATCATTCCCATGGTACCTCCAGCGGTTGATTGCTTGGTGGAATTTGAGTCGGTGGCGGTGCGCATTCTTGATGAAGATGGGTATGGGACAGGATATGGTTGATGGTGTCCTGGGAAGAAACTCTGGGTCTGTTCCGAATTTATTGGATCATAACGAAAATTGTGAGTCGATGGTGGCAAGGACAACGGGTGTTCGTTTAATGAATAGGGAGAGTGACGAGGGAACAGCGAGGATGGTCGCTCCACCACTAATTGCGTGCTCATTTCTCGACTTTTTTTTATTTAAGAAACTATTATTATTAATGTAATTATATCAAAGAAAAAAAGGGGGGTTCCTACGACCGAATGGATTTTTTCTTATGATTAAGAAGAAAAATGTCCGATGCGATATTTAAATACAAACAGGAAATGAGGACACGCACGCTACCAAAAAAAAAAAAAAAATGTGAAAATTTTTTTTTTTTTTTTTTTTTTTTTTCCTATGCTCTCCCTTGGAACATATGAGGAACAATAACAAAATTCTGTGGAAAAAAAAAAAAATTTTTTTTTTGAAGGGTAAAGAAGAAAAGAAAAAGGGAAATAAATGTGGGATTTGGTGTGATGATATACTGTTTGCCGAAAAAAAAAAACCCAAACTAAACATTTATAGTACCGTGATAATAAAATATTGTAGATATTTGCATGAATAAATAAATAAATAAAAAATAAATAAATAACATACGAAATATTTATGCAATGCTATTTAGCAAGTTATTGAATGCACACAGTCAGTAGTCTTTTTTTTTTTTTTTTTTTTTAAATAAAACTACGGGAAAAAAAGGACGTATGTAAAGCACCTGTTTATAATCTACATCCGTTCTGTGATACCATTTGAAGAGAAGATCCCTTCTTGTGTATGTGTACATACGTGTTTGTGGACTATTAATAAAAATCATCAGTTGCCTATTTGCGGGTAATCGAATTTATAGAACCGACATTACGTACATATCAGCATTCCACACTTGACTAGCATATTCGGCCGAGAAAAAAAAAACTAATAATCAAAAAAAATCACAAAATATACACTTTGTTGATTCTCGGTCGACTGAATGGAACGTTTTGGTGACGAATAGAAAAACGGTCATGAAGAGAGGGCATAATATGAAATTTTATATTATGCTCATTTTAGAGGAAAAAAAAAAAAAAAAAGGACACCAATAATAATGACAATGACGACCGATAGGAGCAAAAGAAGTGCACTAAGCAGGTCTAGATTGGGTCGATGACAGCAGGCAGAATATTCTATGTTGAAAGGGAGCATTACGTCTTTTTTTTTTTTTTGACAGGCGACGATCGCCCGTCGGATGGCCGGGAAAAAAAAAAAAGAATTGAATCTGTGGAATTACTAATCACCAAAAGGAACTTAAAAAAAAAGCACCGATCACATCACATCTGAAATTAATTTGTCATCAAAAGTGCACGTCATAAACGAAATTCGTGATGGTCTAATGCTAATTGTATTCCGATTCCGATTCTCGTTTGGTGGTGCCTCAGGATTTACAGATGAACCTGCGCACTTGACTTTTTTACAATTATATTAAAAAGGGCAGGCTAACAAATAAAAGAAAACGGCAAGGGTCTCACCTTGGAATAAATTTTCCGACGCTTACCGTCTTATGAAAACGTACTGAAGTGTTGAGGGAGGGATATGCAGCCGAGACCAAATTGGTGTCAATGGGAGGTTCAAGGTCGTCAGCACAATATACGCATGCGCGTGACATTGAATGAAGTGCTCATTGAGCGAGAATTCCGTTAAAAAGAAAAATGGTAATGACAAATAAATAAATAAACAAAATAGAATAAGATAAATACATAAAAAAAAAAAAAATTCTTTCATCGGGGAAAACTATTTAGAGAACAAAACCTCAGGGACATGCGTTTTGAAAGAGGCGTGCCTCGAGAAAGGACTACCAGCAAACGTGAATCCGAGGATCCGCGGAATGATCCTCCTAACGGGGATGAACACTATGACACTTACGACACGTATATGATGAGAGGTAACATGACAAGGTATTCCTGTTATGTATTCAATCTACAGATCTGGTTTTAGGTTTGTGTAGCTCCAAACCTTAAACGGAAGCTACAATCACTTTTGAGATTGATGATGAATTGGTTAGTGACAAGATAATTTATAAAAGGTGGATGGGGCAATTGATGTGTTCGTGTAAATGACTTTGGTCAACCAATATAAATCAGTTAATATTTTAAATATCATACCATATTGGGCTAGTGATGTAAAGTTTTTTGACTCGGAGATAATATTATTAAGAATAATTTCCCTTATCTATTTTTTTTTTGTTACGATGAAAAAAAAGAGGCTATTTGAAAATGCTCCGCATTCTGCCTATTTTCCATTCTTCCTCTGTGTCCAAACTTGTAAGGAGCACATACGTATATGAATGGTGAATGGAAGCGGCAGCAAAGAACAATCAAAGAATGTCGAGGGAAAATAACATTATTATGTATGAACCATGTGTGATAAACTGATACGCATTTAAGCGAGAAGGTTAATGAGACTTGACAGTGATGCCAACCTGCTGCAATTGGCTAGCTCTCAAAGACGAATACACTGAATAAATAATCGGTGAGATTGGCATTGTCAATTGTATTATTCTTTTTTTTTTATTCTTCTATGAAATCTAGTAGTCCCATTATGGAGAGCATTGCTAAAGGGAATGAATCAAAGATTCGGATGCACTTTCTTCCACTTGTTACCAACACATACCGTCAATCCTCTTTTATCTTACTCACCCCTATCCTTTCGGTCACATCATCTATTAATTATAGAAATTAGATCACCCCTCAAATATCTGACAGCGAAAAAAATACGTCATTAAATGCGCCAAATATTATTATTTATCTCGCATGTCCGAAATTTTTTTTTTTTTCTGGTGTTGCATTATTTAATCACTCGGCTGTTCATTGTATCGCGAAACATCGTCATCTTGCTCATTTCCAACACCAATAGCGATTTGATGATTTGGTTAAGTATCACCCGATCTGATTCCAAAAGAGATTAGGCCGCAGCAATAACAACATTACGTAGCATAAGAATGTTACTTAATGCAAGTGGAATCCTGATGGTTGGGATAAAGTTCATTTGAAAAATTGATAAATAATGTATCAGCTAATAATCTCGGAGCACACAGGTAGGGTTGTTTTCATGTGGTGTACCATTGTGATGAATAATGATGCGTTGTGTGTGTACGCGCTGGAGACAAAAAAGGATTCTTTCACAACGTTCCAATGTTCCAAGATTCAAACAATGTTCCCAAGTGTTCAAGACGATGCATACAGGTTTTAGAGTAGGCAGTTAACCTTAAGGATTCGGTGGACGTGGTGTGTGCAACGGTGAAGAAAAATATTTTTAATTTCCGCACCACCGTTTTCGTCGTCGTCATCCATCATCACCAACTTTCATTGTTGAAAAATTATTTGTTGCATGACCGGACTTGCATCAAAGGACCGGGAGCATGGTATCTATGAAGCTATCGCATCATCATATGAATCAAGCTAAAACTAATGTGAAGAAAAAAAAAAATGCCTTAGCGTACAGCAATGTGTGGGTTGCACACGCAACAATTAGTCTATCATTTTAATATTCTTCTATTGCATTCCACACGCATTAAAGCCCGAGTTAAACGGACATAAAGTGAACTCTAATGGGAGATATCAAAAAAAGGAACAATTCAACACCTTCTTCTTCCTCTTTTTAAAAAAAAAAATAAATAAATAAAAGCATAAAAAACTCCGAATTTGATCTGTCACCGGGTGATCGAATGTCGTCTCCGACGGCTTCTGACAAATTCGTGTCGAACCGGTTCACCTTGATCATTCACATTTCATCCACCACCTCTCCCAATGTCCTGTGAGACGCCTGCAAACACGGAGCAAATAATTGCAACACGCATTCTCCATTGGTAATGGACCCATTTTGAGCATAACTCGGTGACATATGTCCTATACAACGTATGCGTTATATATGATGTATAAATGCCGTACGTCGTATGCAATGGGAAAATAATGAAATGTTACAATGGTTGATACTTGTTTTGGAGTCACGCGCGTTAGGCTTGTAAATAGGTCAACTAATGCCCGGATCCCAATCCGAATCCAGTATGGATTTTGCTTTGTGTCGCGCTATGCAATTTTCCGAGTACATTTATATCTCAGATTTTCAAGTATGCACATCAGGTAGTTGATAAAGTAATTTCAGGTACATACGTAAATCAATAATTAGTCAGCGTAAAACATTCGAGCCATTTCACTGAACTCAATTTAAGCTACGCATACTGAATGAAAATATCTGAAACTGGATAGGATATTCGTACACTTGTACCAAAATGGAAGGGTTAAATAAGGCAACCTCTGATAATCGGATTTGGAAATTCTATTCTCTCTTCTTTTTTTTGCCCCATAGCAAAAACAACGGCACGGTGACAACGAACAACACCAATCCTTATGGGAGGGTATCTTTTGTTTGTGTATGTGTGTGGGAGAGTGTAGTCCGTGTGTGTTACGTGTATTTTAATAAGGCATTAACAAATTCACATGGCAAATCTATTTCGTGTCATCAATCCTGTTCGAGTTATATTACTGCATTGTCGATCCACAAAGGGGGGAGACGGAAGCGTTGGGTGTACGATAATGTACACATTCGGCCGTCGGTTGCTTGAAATCCTTGATGTTTGATTTCTTATTTACCCATTTTGTAAAAGTCGGTGGTAAATAAGAACAAAATCGTGTCTGATTTCCGACGTCTTTTAACTTTTAACGTGGAACATACAGTATAATAAAAAAAATAAAATTTTTTTGGGCACGACTCGACTCGAGGATTAGGTATCCCTGACGCACGATGACGATGATGATGATTACGTTTGCATAACTGATTGGAATTAATCAGTGCACACACATTACGTATCTCCGCCTAAACAATTTAATTACTCCGCGTGAATTATTCCGGCTCTTAAAATGAGTTTGTCAATGAGCTTAAGGGTGACACCAACGGGCATGACGTTTCCAGCATTCAGACATTTGAATTGTATGCAACCTCACAGTAAAAGAGAACATATTGGCATGGAGCAGCGATCGACAACATGGAGAAGGGGAATGAGTTTTGCTTTATGTTTGATGTATTATTATTTACCTTTTCTGTTGTCATCTAAGCCTACTCGAATTACATCAATTTTGTTGTATTGGCACCAAAAAATTTCAATTAGGATTTTCCTTTATTACACGTATAAAAAATGTTGCCGTGTTCTTGAACTTCCTCTCACCACTATTTTTGTCCATTTGTGTCACCCCGGGTGCGGGTGAGATAACAATACCTTTAAAATAACGAATACAGTATATTGTATGTATGATAAACGAGAAGTGTTAAGAAACTAACGAAAAATAATTTACCAAGTTTGTTTTTATTGTTGTTATTGTTGTTGGGAAAAAAATTAAATGCTGTTGTTTTTTTTTTATTATACAGTATATTGTATGTATGCAGAAAATCAGACTTTCTTTACGCATTTAAAATTCTTGGTGGTGGTGAACCCCATGACCAGAATCTTGACATCACTGCACATCATCATCATCATCAATCGTAACGCGCATTAACGCGCATATATGTGGAGGGTAAAATTTTGTTATTTCGCTGAATACCACGACAGCAGGAACTCAGCATGATGCCGATGACGAAAGGAGCACAGCACTTTAAATTCCGAGTGTAACCATGCTGCAAAAATCCGTCCTAGGGTCAAACAAGGCGGAAAAGAAGTCGGTTTATCGTTATTTCAAAATCATTACACCGAATCTACTCTTCCTCTACAATTTTGACGACAAATAAAAATTACCAATATGAGAGTGTGACAGGAAAACATTTAAGGGATCATTATTTTTGATATGCACACTAAACGACCTTTCCTATGAACCAACCAACCAACCAACATTCAAGTGCGTAACCATTTTATTATCGTCATGGTTATTATTGTTTGTCGCCGTAGATACAGGTAGATATATACAGTATATAAAGCAATTAAAGCAGTTTTTTTTTTTTTCCTGCCCTCCTCTTTAGTGTTCAACGGAGTTTTGCCGTTAGCGACAGTGACACCTGATGAATTTATGCTATGTTCACTGTTAATAAGATAAACAAGTGCATGCCCTCAGAAAACAATTAAATTACCCGGCATGAGGGCATTCACATTTCAAGAACCTCTAACCCGTTAGAGTATTTTCCTAAGGAGACCACCCTGCATATAGATAGACAGGTACATTTACTGATATAGAGTGCATGCATATGCATGCATTCATTCATTCATTCATTCATTCACTCATTCATACGTTCTTCGAATCCCATGGAGTTGACTATTTAGCATACCGAAAGACTGATTACAATAAGCGACACGACTTCATCTAATAGTGTTAGCGTGTGTAAACAAAATCCCGCAAAACTAATTTCTAAAAATGGAAATAAATAACCTTCGCCATAAATTATCGCAATCTCTGGTTCCATCTGTCCTTCTTGATATGATTATTTACCTATAAATTGTGTCTCGATTGTGTGGAGATGGGGTTTCCTGCGTGATTCTGATGCATTCCATGTTGTACCAAAGAATACATTAATCCACATTGCGGAAGAGAAGCATGAGACAAGGCATCTATCTTATGTAGCAAACACAATGCTTTATGTTCGTGGTGTCCGTGATTGCATCTTTTGCTGCTTCTTTGATCTTCTCTTTATTTTCAATGGAGACTTTCTCGCTTTTTTGTATACAAACAAAGCATTGATAAAAAACAAATAACGACTTTTCACGGGTGATTTCCTCTAATCCTATCCGATTATCTGTGACCAAAAAAAAATTTTTTTTCAGAACAATATCTTTTTTTCTTACAACGACATCTTTCTTCCAACAGAAGCTTCCTAAACAACGACTCTCGATTTCATATGAAATAACATCAATTGTTTACTCGCATACATAATCTCAAGACGCAGTCCATATATTCTATGAGACTATGGACTACAACGAAAATGGTAACCTGTCATTTGTACACATAATTGGTATCACCATTGATGGACGATCAGTTAGTCGTTTTGCCGATTTAATTAACATGTGACGGCATTGCCATTGGTGTACTCATTATTACGTACGCACCTTTTTTTTTTTTTGCGCATTACGCTGTGCAACTCTATAATCTGATTTCCTGAGAATCTTTGATTATCACCCTTTTTGCCTCCTTCAATACAAACAAAAATATACCAAGAATATTACCAAGAATATTAACCGGAAAACTTCCTACTTAGGTGATGGATACTGTGTAATTTGATTACTAACCGCTCACATAATAGATATAGGTGATTTAATCAATTTTATACCGCGAAAAATATCTACGAAATCTGCTGCATAGATGAAACCACCTTTGTTATTAATGAGGGGAATATCGGCCGTCTTCCATACAACTTTCATGCACCTCATTACCCCCGAGAACAATAGGCAATCGTGGGTTGATTTTATTATCTTTTTTAAAGAACTTTATTCGGGTTTCATTATGAAGCTCGAGATTTCGGATTTGTTGAATACGAACGAACGAACGAGCAAACGAACCAATGCTACATAATTAACTGTATACATTGATAAATTAAAGTATTGTGGTATATCGATTAAATTGAGTGTTCATTGAAACATTGTGTAAATTCATGATGGAATTGAACATTGTTAAAAATGCGACGGATGTACAACAATAGGTGTAACGAAGCAGGCGTAACATCACTACACTGACGGGCAAATTTTCGCCCCTTAAAGTAACCAGTTACGCCCATTATGATTCCACTAATTGACCTTACTCTTAAACTCCCGAATACTTGTTGCGGAAATTTAAATCTTGATGGTCGGATATTTTTTCGTTGATGATAGCCGGAAAGATAATCGGCAATGATTCAATGAGTTCCCCTGTGCACTTGCTCAATCGCGTGATGCTCATGATTTTATGGTTCGCACGTACAGTCTACGAAATTAGCCAAAGTTTTTAATAAAGTCTACGACAAGAATTATTCGTGTGGGGTACGAATGCTTGTTTATTTGCGGGGAAGAATCACACCGTATCATTGTGCGCGAATATTTCTCTCATCGAAATATAGTTGAGAAAAAATTATATTGTTTTATCAAGTGTGCAATTTGTCATTCACTCAGTATGCATCTGTCATCATTTAACATGTTATTTGGTCACTTTGACATCGAAATTCCGATCCGAAGGACATCGGAATTCGGGCATATCCTTGATTTCCTTTTTCGCAGTCACTCCCGTTCACTCGCTTTCATCATTTCAATCGTCAGAAACGACGAAGTGCGATGTATTGACTTATAAGAACGACAAGAGTTTGCACAATATCACTAATATAGATGACGAGTGGAAACGAAAAATGCTTATTGTGACCACCTCAATCTTTCATCGTTCTGTGTGCCAGATAAAGTTAGCATGTATGCACACGCTACTGTATGCATGTCAACACAAAATCTGCGATAGCTTATTTGTCTACCTGTCAATGTGTATCCATTCATCATAAAACCTCAGACGAGGTAAAAAAAAAAAGGGCGGAAGAGGTGAGGGAAATGCGTGGGCCTTTGTTCGGACTAATATGGTATAGCGCACGTTTAATGAGTGTATTACAGCAAGTCCCACTCACTCTTCCATGAGAATCGATCGGGAAAACAAGAAGAGCGGGAAGCAAATTATAACAAATCAATCAAATATAAACAAAGCAAGTAATGACTGATAAATAAACAAAACAAAACAAAACAAAGCGGAATTTGTTGTGGATAAGTAAGATCCGATTTATTATGTACATGAGCCAATAATATATTGTCGACCAAATTATTGGCAGAATTTGAGGCGGCAAAAAAAAAAAGTACGAGGGCTTGCTTCTGAAACGACTTTGTGCTCACTCATTTCAAGATCGAACTGTGTGATTTGTGAAAAATTTTTATTCCGATGTAGGATAATAAAGAATTTAATCGGCGTAATTATTGTAAGTGAATATTAATATACTATATTGTTGATTTACTGATACTATGTAAGATTCAAAATACAAATTCTTTACGTCAAGGGAGCCACGAGATCACGTAAGATTATTAAATGATAAATTTTGATAAATCACATCGAATCCTTAGATTCATGCATATTGAGCTATAGGGATCTCGTCTGTTTTTTTAACAATCAATCTCAAAAATCCTGGATGATGATGATTCATGGAATTTACAGTATTTACAGTAATAATTTTCAATAAAATCATTGATCACTAAAAATATAATACAATTTTTTAAAAAGAAATATTAAATCATTCAAAAAATTATTGTGTATCCAGAATCATTTAAAAGCTTTCCAAAAGTGTGTTGATTCAATTTTTTTTTAATGGGCTTGTGATTTTAGCCAACTAAAGATATAGCCTATTTTCTCATATAGTTTTTTTAATATGAAAATTATGATTTTTGTTGTTTTAACAAGATAAAAATTTACAAATTTTTAATAAACAAAAAAAAATTTTTCTTTACAATATACCATTATGCTATGATAATTAACTTGACAAACTATTATCTCAAGTGACAAGGATGTCATAATATATTGATTTTTACTGATATTCAAATTTAATATAAATATACTGTATAATTTTATATTTATTTTAATTTATACAGTAAATACTTCATATGAAATTTGTTTGTTTTTTTAATTGCAAATAAAGCATTAAATATAAGATTCTGTATTTATTAAACTTTAATTCATCATCATTACATTAAGAATTTTATATTATTATTTATAAAAGTTAATTTCAATCTATTGTATATAAAATTTTTAATTTTAAAAAATATCAAGTAGATGGAATCAAACTAGAAATAATCCATGAATAACTAATGTTTATCCATAAAAAATTGATCAAAAATACTTGAAAAAATATTTTATGTGGCTCTTTTATAAATTCATATAGCCATATTTCAATCCAGTAATTATATAAAAATCAATATTATTTAAAATATATCAATAAAATTATTAAATATTAATTTATTAAATAAAAAATAATTACAAAAAAACAATTAAATACAGTATATTTAATTATAATTGTGCTTAACAATTCAAATTCTTTATTTAATTTCAATATAAAATTAATAAATTTATTATATTAATCAATTAACTATACAAGTAAAATAGCAAGTAGCCTCAAAATCTTCTATAACTAATCTTTTGTCCTTTTTTTTTTTCATTAAAAAATCAGATTTTTTCTTTAATCTCAAGAATTTTAACACAGAAGTCAAAAACCTTTTTTCACTAATAGAGAAATATAAACTTGCAAACTTGAAATATCATGTAGACAAACTTAAGAAATTTTATTATATTTCAAATAAATTTCCTAAATTATATAGACTTACTAATTTATTTTTTTTTTTTATTTTTTTTTTTTTTCGGCTAAAGTGAGACTTTACTCTAGTTTATTAATATAGATAATTTTTTACATACGAATTACATACATAAAGTTTAAGCTATATTATTTTATATTAACTAGAATCTACCCACAGGTACTATAGACCATCCGGGTGTAGCCTGCCACCATGCTTGCTAACCAAGCCTACCTTAGCTCTATTTGTTCGATTCTAACTTCTCCTTTTTGTTCTCTATTTAACCATTCTGTTATATATTTATAGCTTACATCTTTCTCATTTATATTTATTTCCTTCTGTCCTCCTTTTTGTGTTTTGCCTATTTTCCCTATTGGTTTTATGCTTTCTTTCTTTTTTCCCTTTTTTCTTTTTTCTATTCCGTTTACCTTTTCCCACTCTCCAACCACTTGATTCCTTTTTTTCCAAATTTTTTCCGCCTCTTGTTCTATTGCTCTATTTATTTTCTTTATTGCTTCCTCTGCTTCTTGTTTGTTTATTTCTTTTAAAATTCTTGTCCATCGCTTTGGAACCATCCCTTGTATGATCCATGCCCAGCTGATCTTTGTGTTCTCTTCTTCCATCGCTTGTTGAATTTCCTCTTGCCTCTCGTTTTTCTTTTCTGTTGTTAGTTTATCATCGATATTTTGTTCCATTATTTCTATAATTCTCTGCTTCAGTCTTGATATTTGCTGTTTCACTAATCTGCATTGCCATACATGTATTTGATCTTCTTTCTTTTCCCCGCATCTTATACATTTTCCATATTTATCGTATCCTTCTTGATCCCTTGTCTTTTTCTTCTCTAGTGTCGGCAATTCGCTATTGATCTTCTTTTCTAGCCATCTGGTGCTGCTTCCTTCTTCTTCCCTATTTCGTAGTGTTTCTTTATATCTTTCCCAAGTTGCTTCCCAGTCGATTTGCTGTCTAGTTAAGGTGTTTTGTATCTGTTTGTTTCTTTCTAATTTTAACCATGCTATGATGTTTTTAATTTTATTACTGATTTTCCATATCTTTTTTCATCCCCAATTTTGCGTTCCTTCCTCCCATATTATACCTCTATCTTTGCTGGTCTCTACTTTTTCTTTTGTGGTGTTCGATACCTTTTGTTGCTCTTTTGTTTCCCTGTCCACTTCTTTAAAGATTTGATCTTGTTTTTCTTCACTTATCCATTCCGCTACCAAACTGAACTCTTCTTTCTCTCTCATTGTTGCGCCTAGCTTGGCCAGTACTGCTCCCTCCTTATTGTACCTTTGTAATTCTTTTTTCCTCTTTTCACTCCCGTTTATGTACTGTTCTGCTAGTTTTAGGTCTGTTATTATCCTTATCTCTCCCTTTGCATCAATTTGTTTAATACCTGCTATTATTGTCTCTAGTTCTGCTTGCGTCGCACTCTGTGTTATATTCTCCCATGTACCTCTTTTGATTTCTTTCCCATTTTCAAAGTACTTCCATACTCCTGTACCCCTCTTTCTTCTCTTGTCCCATGCTGCGTCTGTATATATTTTCTTGTCCTCGCACTCTTCCACCCTCTTCCTTTTCTTTTTGTT